AACCTCACTACATGCACCCACCTCCATCCATCCAACCTCACTACATGCACCCATCTCCATCCATCCAACCCCACTACATGCACCCACCTCCATCCATCCAACCTCACTACATGCACCCATCTCCATCCATCCAACCCCACTACATGCACCCACCTCAATCCATCCAACCTCACTACATGCACCCACCTCCATCCATCCAACCTCACTACATGCACCCACCTCCATCCATCCAACCTCACTACATGCACCCACCTCCATCCATCCAACCTCACTACATGCACCCATCTCCATCCATCAAACCTCACTACATCCACCCACCTCCATCCATCCAACCTCACTACATGCACCCATCTCCATCCATCCAACCTCACTACATGCACCCATCTCCATCCATCCAACCTCACTACATGCACCCATCTCCATTCATCCAACCCCACTACATGCTGTTGATAATCTTAGAACGAGTTTGGTTTAGGAGCCATAGTATAGGACCCTTAGTAGCTTAGGTTTTAGGTTTATGAAAAGTGTCGAGAGAAATGAAAAGGAGAATGTGGTTCACTAGAAAGCAGGGGGATACAAGTAGTAAGCCCTAAAAGGGTTATACTCACTTTTGAGTACCCCACTACAGACTAGACATTCATTATAATCTGACACACCCTTATAGTCAAAGTGGGGTATAATCAGTATAGCATGCAGGCATAGAGCAAGAGTTCACAATAGGTAAGTAAGGCTAGAGCTAATCATAGAGGGCAGGTGAGGAGGAGGAGAGACTGTGGGGGAGAGAAGATGGGAGGCGACTGCTGATGCTGCAGACACACAGACGAGCTGCTGGCTCAGTGGCTACCGGAACAGCGCTCCGGACTACTGGGGTAACTGGCCCCGCGGCTAAAGGTAGCGGCAGACGAGCAACGGACCCACGGGCGACTGGCGACTACCGGAGATTGTAGCCTCCGGACTGCTGCTGCTGCTGACGACAAGACTGCTGCCTCCACACAACCTCCCCCAGCTGCCCAACGCCCCTCTCACACACCCCCTGCTCAAACCCTAGCCCTACACCCACAGCACCCTCTTTAACCCGAAACCCCAGACTCCCACACACCCACCCCCCTCAGCGATAGCTGCAGCAGTGGGAGACGAAGGAGGAGGAGGAGGAGGAGGGGACGGCACGCACAACCGACACCCCACAACCACCACCCCCATGCTCGGCACCCCACATCCCCAGCACCACGGAATGCACGGGGGGGGGGGGGGAAGGGGGAACGGGACGGGCTGCAGGTGCGGGCTGCTCCAGGGGCGGCTGCTGCAGTTGCTGGCCTCTCCAGGGGCGGCTGCTGCAGGTGAGGGCTGCTCCAGGGGCGGCTGCTGCTGGGGTGGCTGCTCCAGGGGCTGCTGCTGCAGGGGCGGCCGTTGCAGGGGCTGCTGCTGCTGGGGCGGCTGCTCCAGGGGCTGCTGCTGCAGTAGCGGCTCCAGGGGCGGCTGCTGCTTGGGCGGCTGCTGCTGGGGCGGCTGCTCCAGGGGCTGCTGCTGTAGTGGCGGCTCCAGGGGCGGCTGCTGTAGTGCCGGCGGCTCCAGGGGTTGCTGCTGCAGTGGCGGCTCCAGGGGCGGCTGCTGCAGTGACGGCTCCAGGGGCTGCTGCTGCAGTGGCGGCTCCAGGGGCGGCTTCTGCAGTGACGGCGGCTCCAGGGGCTGCTGCTGCAGTGGCGGCTCCAGGGGCGGCTGCTGCAGTGACGGCTCCAGGGGCGGCTGCTGCTAGGGCGGCTGCTGCTGGGGCGGCTGCTGCTGGGGCGGTTGCTCCAGGGGCTGCTGCTGCAGTGGCGGCTCCAGGCGCGGCTGCTCCAGAGCTCCCGAGAGCGCCTCGACTGACGACGGGAGGGGACCGCGCGCGGGCCCCTAAGACGCCTCGACGAGGCGACGGGAGGGGCCGGCTCGCGGGCCCCGAAAGCCTCGCGACGAGGCGACGGGAGAGGCCTGCGTGCGGGCCCCCGAAACGCCGCGACGAGGCGACGCTCAGGGCCGGCGCGCAGGCCCGCAGGACGCCGCGACGAGAGAGGAAACCCGCCGCGCGCTTCGGGGCGCACGGCGGGCAGAAAACCGCCACGCGCCCCGAGCGCGTGGCGGGAAGAAAAATAGGAGGTCGCGCGCCACGGGGCGCGCGACACACAGTAGGGCAGCGGAAGCAAGTGGGCCCACAGGCCAGGAGCGTAAGCTCTGATAACATGTTGATAATCTTAGAACGAGTTTGGTTTAGGAGCCATAGTATAGGACCCTTAGTAGCTTAGGTTTTTGGTTTATGAAAAGTGTCGAGAGAAATGAGAAGGAGAATGTGGTTCACTAGAAAGCAGGGGGATATAAGTAGTAAGCCCTAAAAGGGTTATACTCACTTTTGAGTACCCCACTACAGACTAGACATGCATTATAATCTGACACATGCACCCATCTCCATCCATCCAACCCCACTGCACGCACCCACTTCCATCCATCAAACCTCATTGCATGCACCCACCATCCAGCCTCACCAAGTAAGTACTGTCGGACCTCCCACGTTCACTCGCCGGCTACACCCTTCCTCTCCCCAGCGATCTGCCGTCGATGCGTCCACTCTCAAGCGACAGATAGTTGGAGATTTTGTATGGCTTGTCCTCTAAAGATAGGCACGCGATAATATCAAGGGTCCGGAGGTTGCCGTGCAAATAGATGTTGTGCAAGGATAGCAGGTCGGGCCAGTAACATACAGTCAGCCGCTGCAGCTGTCTCAAATCGTACACTCCATACGGGAATGAGATCATGTAGGGAATGTCAAACAGGAAGAGGGTTAGAAGGCTTTCAAGCTTGCAGACGGATGAAATGAAGTCGTTAAGGAAACGTGTCTCATCCTCCGCATCCCCAGTCGGGCAGCTAGTTGGCCATCCAAACTCAAGAGAGGTCAGGCTCGCTTTCCAGTTTCGAAGCAGGGATGGCGGCACACTGGTGACGCTGTTGCAGTGATTGAAGGAAAACGTTCGAATGTTGGTGAGCCTGGAGAGGGAATCAGGAAGGTGAGTGAGGCTGCTGAGTTGGCACAGCTCCAAATGCTCTAAAGATGACATGCGATCCATGCTCTCTGGAAGTTCCCTCAGTGCAGAGCATTTTCTGATGGTCAGGCTCTTGAGAGAAATAAGATCAGCCATGGCGCTTGGGAAACGTTGCACCTCATTAAATCTCGATAGCTCAAAGACTCGTAGCGAAGTAAGCAGGAAGAAAGAATCCGGGAGCCTAGAGAGTGACGAGTTGTTTCTTAAAAAGCACTCTTGAAGGTTCTGAAGGCAGCCAATGCTGTCAGGAAAATCCTCCAGATCAGCTACATCGGATAAGCTGAGTTTGACCAAAGAACTAAGGCCTCCAAAGGTCTCGGGCAGGTGGTGTAACTGCTTGCAGCGTAACATCTGCAGCTCGGTCAGCCCGGTGAGAAGACCAAAAGATTCTGGGAGCCCCGAAAAAAGGCAGCTCAACGTGAGCTTCTTCAAGCATCTCAGCTTGTTGAATTCATCAGGAAGGCTTGTGAAATCGACTTCCAAAAAGACCTCCGTCAGGGAAGACAGATCAAAGAAAGACGGTGGGGGACTTGAGTGATCCGCTTTAACGTCCAGCCAGAGATACTGTAACCCAGTGCAAGCAGTAAAGACAGCATCCAGACCATCCCATGCCAAAGAAGTATGACCACCCGCGTTTATGAGGTCAAGACGAGTCAACCTGGGACATGCAGACCCGAGGCCGAAAAGAAACTCGCACTCGTCATCAAAGAGGCATCTGTTTATCCTTAGAGACGTCAAATTCGTGAACTCCGACAAGAAGTTCAAAAGGCCAGTGCCTGCTTGAATCTGGTGTTCTCTGCTGGAGCGCATCATGGAGATGGACGAATGGGAAAGATATGTAAGGCGACGCCATCGCTTGCAGGCCAAGGCGTGGTTCAGGCTGTTAGGCGACTGCTCGCTTAAAAGACGGAAAATGATGCAAAGGAAGTCGTCGGACAAATGATCGAACAACGGCGACCACGCGGAACCACCAAGGCAAGGTGATGCTCGGGTTAGCGACGATTGGTCTCTATTACTAGACGACATGGCTCACACGATACGGAGACAACAACGTCACAAAGAATTTTGCCATAAAACATTGCTCTTTGACTGACAAAACAATGTAAAGGCTATGTCCCACGGAACAATGCTCGAGGTTTATCATCAGCAATCCATTTCCGCAAGACAATGTTGCAGGAGTGCTCATGATGATTGGACAGACATACCCCCGCACGTTCGGCAAGGATTGCCGAAACACTCACGGCGCAATCTTCATTCACGATACAGTAAAAACACGCACGTGTCACGAATGGTGCATCTGCCACTAACAGGTTCGGTATAGCGCGGGGTCAAAATGGCAACACACATACGAAAAAAAAAATATTTGTGAAACAAACGAGATGCAGCAAACGAAGGTGATTACCTGCGTTTAGGGTAACACCCTCTAACAGCACCCTCCCAATAAGCAGCATGCTTTACAAGTAGCACCTCGACAAGTATAACGCACACGTAACATTGTTACAAACAACCTTGCATCGTCATGATTAGGATATACATTCGGAGCGCGCGGTCATACAGCACGGTAGCATCCCGCGCTGTATTTCGCACTGCCACCCCGCGAGCCGCGTTTCCCGGAGGGGAGCATGGATGTTCCTCTCAGGTCAGTCATTTCTTTCCCCCGCCTTGTTCGTGTGGTGGATTAGCAGCACGATTTGAACACACAGACAAATTGCACTGAAAACACCAAGGCCTAACACAGCACAAACACAAGCAACCATCTCACCACGTAAGCACCAGCTAAGGAAACAACACGAAGCAAGCTCGGCAGCACTAAAACAGACAGCAGCAGTGGAGTACATTTGAAACCAGGGAACATCGCAACGAGCGGGATGTCGCGAGGCCCAGTCGAACACCTAGGAACACAACCCACGTCCAAAGCCACGCATCCTCCTAGGTATCGGGCTCGTCATTGTCGCCATCATCTGCGACCGCGGGGGCCGGAAACGGGTGAAGGGGTGGAGCCAGCGGTGAAATGTCCTCCAGCCCGTCCTCGGAGATAATGACAGAGCTGCCCTGGCGAAATGCCCACGCACGGGCATTAGGGTCCCACCACGGCCCAGTAGCCGCAGTGCTCGCCATAATGCTCCGACGGGCCCACTCGACCACGCGATCGTGGTACCAGCGCACCGCCTCCTCGTTCCGCGGCGCCGACCGTGGCATCTGTGTGCCGTTGATCAGCGGATACTCCACCTGCAAACGCCTCCCATACATGCGTCAGCGTGCATGACTTAAGAAACGCACAAACCCACAACAATGCCAAGCTCACCACCGTGATACCACTCACCCCGTAAAGCCAGAAGGCTATGACATAGGTCCGCAGGACGAGAGGGGGAGGGCTGGCGCGGCGGAAAGACTTGTAGATACCCCTCTCAAATGAGTCGGCCGCGAAGGGTAGGCCGTTGTGAACATGCCATGCGAGCAGCTGAAACGTGCCAGGCCCTGCGGAGTTGGGGTTGAGCAACAAGAGAGCACTCGGAGGTTAGGGAAGGATCCTATACAACCATCAGATACCCCAAAACGCGCGATGTTAGCAGCTGCGTACGTCACGTAGTAGTTACTACCTGCGCGATGACGGCCTACGAAGTCCTGGCGGGAGACTTGTGGGACCCCGTTAGCAGCCATGTCCGCAGGCACCGCCACCCGAGAGAAGGCCGGGGGTTCGTAGGGCAACCCGTTGAGTACGTAGACATACGCCCTTCCCTGCTCCCAGCGAGTGTTACGAAACACCTGCATCTTGCGAATGAACCACCCCGACCGAGACGCGTCGTTGGTCCACACTAGGTGAAGCTGTTGACGCTGTGCCCTTGTGCGGAGTCGAAGAGCACGAGCCATCGTGGCTTCGATGAGTAGCGGGGACGGCCAGAATGACATGCGCCCAACACGCGTGGCGTAAACGAGCAGCACAATCCCCTCCCCAACTGCGTCCTGAAATTGCGTAAGTAAGAGAAACAGGCTCTCAAGGCTTCGCAAACAACCACGCATCCGCTCAAAAAACATGCGGTGCAACGGACAATATCAGTGTCATTGGTACCTTCAGGCCATTCAAGAGCCCAGGGATGACCTTGTTCGCGATTTCGAGATTGTCCGCCCATATCACCAGCTGCTCGGTAGGAGGGCCATGCCTGCCACGCACGATTGCAATCTCCCTAGCGAGGGCCTGGGCCACGAATGGTGTGCGCACGCGCTCATGCTGCGGCTCCGCGCCACGTTGGTCGACAGTCGGGTTGCTCTCGCGCTGGCGAGTCGTTGCTGGCGCCCTGTTGCGCTGGCGGCTGGTGGCTGGCGCCGTGTTGCGCTGACCTTGGATGTCAGCATCCCCTTCCACGACGTTGTTGGTGGCCGTACGGCGTGCCTCACGGAGACGGGTGTTGAGCTCGACTATCTCCAGCTCGCGGGCGCGAAGGCGAGCAGCCATTGCCGCGTTCATGGCTGGGGCTGGTGCAGGCGCAGCAGCAGGGACGTTTACGCCCCCAGTCGCGGCCACGGTGGGGCCACGTCCGCCTGGCGGGGTGACGGCGGGAGTCACTGGTGCAGCATGGCTCAGCTCCGTGACTGGGCGCTGCATCGCTCGCGCCGCTGTCAACATCAAACAACAGCACTGTTAGCAAAAGTGAGTAACAACGTCAAAACGTCCAGCGTGCATGTTTAGGACCGTGAAAACACTCAAACACGCACCCTCCGCGTCCTCATCGACGAGTTCGGTTGGGGCACCTTCTGACGCCTCGCCAACGTCCTCGTCTTCTCCTTGATTGGCCGCCCACGTCGCGTACCCCGTGGTCGCGGAGTTGGACATTTCATCGTCAGAGTCATCGCCGGCCGTTGCTGCGTTGCCGGCACGTCCATTGTTGGCACGCGAGGCGGCGCCGTAGTAAACCATGTCCCGGTCAAGTGCTCGTTGTCCCGCGTTCATCCTGCCAGTTCGGCGCATCGTGTCGTAAGGCGACCTTGCGGAGTCCATTGTTAGCAAAGCTCAACAATGCCTACGTTTGCCTTCTTGAGTACATTGAATGTTTCCAACGGGACCCTTCTTATAGGGAGCTTACGAGCACTGTGGTCCCAGGAACACAGTTCGCTACCACTTTCACAGCGTGGCTTGCGCCTTACCCTTACGCCCTCACCTTCAATACTTCCATCACCCCCTGCATGCGTGTGTACACATCACCACTTACCCCCAGTTACGTAGGCGTGTCGTGCGCAGACGCGCTGGCACGAGGGTTGCGTCTCACCCATTTATCGTGATCCGATGGAACCATCACAAGCCTATCACGCATGTTCGAACCTTGTGTTGTCAGGATATTTGTGATAAGATTTCCTTGAGCCACGCTGTCATGCTGGCCTATGGGCGACGACACACGCATGAACGATCCACGGCACGTGTGTGCGCCAGTTGTCCTTGGGGTCCGGCGTGCAAGGGAACGCCCTTCCTTGCTGGGCCTACAGTTAGTAACTGTTCCACTGAGCGTGACGCAGTAGACTTTAGGTTCGTAATCCGCCCTACTCTTTTCAGAACCATGATGGTGTTTTTTACACACTGAGTCTGGCTGTCGTGCATTATTATAACAAAGATCAGCCCAATTTCAATAATATTGCATTACACCCCGCATATGCTGTCAGGGTTGCGCGAAGTACGCATTTAGGACGACCCTACGGGTGCACATATGGACAGCGCTCGTCGCTGCAGTCCCTGTTCAAGCACCAGTCACGGTCAATTTTGAAGTCGTCATATTGCTGTGAGACGAGCCTGAACACCACCAGCCCATCACAAATGGTCGGCGCTTCCCAGGGAAACTTGCAGTAATGCCACTGCACCGTGCACACCAAGGATCCCGCCGCCTCACGCGGCGGTATTTCCCACCACGCCATCATGCCAAGCGCGTGCGCAAGCACCCCAGCTCCCATACCATCCGCACCGCCAATGTGAGAACCCTGCTGAAACTTGTCAGGTATTCGTCCCGGAAGTTTCGCGTGTTTGAAATCCTCACGCGCGTCGGGAGCCCCGACATAGTTGTAGAAACCTCTGTCGAGCTGCATGCGTGAAAATCCGAGCGAGGCATCGGTTCAAGAAGAAAGCACATGTCAGGATTCACAAAAGCTAGTCAACTCACATCGTCTTCTACACAAGAGGCTCACGAAGGGTCAAGAATTCCTTAAGCACAAGGCCTAACAGAAGCCTTACCACCCATCCTTCAGAATGCGCGAACTCCATGAGGTAATGACGAAAATCCTTCCTTGGCGGCTCGGTGGCAACGATTTCGTCGCCGTTCAAGGCCAGGACGTTGACGCCATGGTACCCTGATGCCGCCAGCTCCACAAACGCCTTAGCACGTTCGCGAAGTGATGCAGGGTCCCTGTCGTCGTTGAAAACTGCCTGAATGACGCGGATGTCAAGGTATGTGAGGTCAGCATCGTGCTCCAGCCCACGGAACTCTCGCAGATTGTCTTCCGAGATGCGACGCAGCTTCCATGCCGCCGCGCGGCTATTAGTTACCAGGTGCTCAATGCTGTCCGCAATCTTTTTGGGAGTCGGCTGCTCGTCACTGGCCAGCAATCGCGAGTATTCAGCTTGCATCACAACAGCTGCAATGTCGGGGTAGTCGCGCACAAACACGTGAATGTTACCAGGCCTCGTTTTGGCTGTCCTTGTGCGCGGCCACGTCGGGCCCTGGTATCGGCTGTACGGCTCGGTGTTGTCTCGGTCGCGTGCACACCGCCAGCGTCGCTTGTTGTTGTTCACGGTTCCCAAAACGAACTGGGACGCGGAGGATGCCATAGCTAAAAGTGAGTGGGTGTGTGAGAACTTGCAGAGGACGAATGAGTAGAAAATGCGTTCCTTGCCTTTGCAAAATGCGTTCTTGAGATTGCAAGATTTGGCCCGCATGACTCGTTATTGCACTACAAGCTGCTGTGTGTTTAGGCCATGTCCTGCTGTAGAAACAAATAGCACCTTCCGAAATTCGGCGACCTTGGTGTATCGGAAGAAATATCCGTTACACGCTTGGTGAGGTGTCACTACAATCGGAATGATTGTGCGGGTCATATGAAACCCTATACAGGTCAGCGCACGCATTCCATCTCACTTGAAGGAGTGTCCAGCGCTGGCTCAACTTAGTATCTAGATTTTTAGTAGGTGCCGGGCAGGAGAACGTGCCAGTCGCGTCATCTGGCACAGCCTACAGTTTGTACTATACGCCTTCGAATCTTGTGGAGTCTCATCGTCGACTTGACATTGGCTTACCCGACGTTGCGGCATCTTGGCGAGCACCAGATTTGTCACTAATATACTGCCTGACGTGGCTTGGATTACTGCGAGAAGAGGCTCGGGGCGCGGAGTTTATCGAGGCTTAGCCCGCCCTGAAAGGCATCGTCACGCGATAGGCGCGTCAACCGTGTGTCTAACCGTCTGCGGCTAACAGGATAAATATGGCCTCAAAATATGTGCATTTCATCAAACAGAGCATGCAAGGCGAGCTGCTGCGATGCCGCCTGTATCTTACCTTTTTGCCTGTGAATGGTGCCTCGAGCACTTCACGCAACGCACAGCGCTGGTAGCTCACAAGCTGCATAGTCACGAATGCCGTAGGCAACGCAGGCGGTACTTTCGGTTCCTCCGTGCCAACCCCTTCGCTGACATCAATGACTATTTTGCCGAGGCATCTCTGACTGCCGAAGACGAGCCGACATCCGATGCTGAAGATGAGGGAGACATGGAAGAGGTGAGCCTATTCATGTGTAATGTTGCTGTATAGGTTGGGCTTTCACTGCACGCATGTGAGTAGCAGACTTAACCAAGTCCGGCCTTTATTCCGTTTCCGTGCAGGGCTCTGAAGGCCAACCCCCCGGCGGTGCAGGCACCAACGAGGAAGTGCAGTCGGAGGATGGGTCTGACTGGGAGAGCGACTTCGGCGACGGTGATTCAACTGAGAGCGATGATGACGACAGCGCCGTCGACGAGAACGATTTCAACACAGCCTTGGAGTTCTTCCGCTTCGTCATCGGATGCAATGGCGGCCAAGGACTCAGCGACGAGGCCACGGTCTGGCTTTTCAAGCTCCTGCGCGACCCCCGCCTGGATCTGGAGGCTATTCGCCGCTGGCGTACCAAACACGCCGTCCTTCAGTACGGACTTCGCCTTATGATGGCGAGGCGGGTGTACAGGCAGGTGGAAGTGCGCATCCCAGGGATCGACCACACATTCGAGCTGATGTGTACCAGCCCTATCGAGGTACGATTTGCAATCAGAGTTTGCACTTGCCTCTGTCCACCCTTCCTTCAGTCAACACTTGCCTCTGTCAACACTTGCCTCTGTCCGCCCTTGCCTCTGTCCGCCCTTGCCTCTGTCCGCCCTTGCCTCTGTCCGCCCTTGCCTCTGTCCGCCCTTGCCTCTGTCCGCCCTTGCCTCTGTCCGCCCTTGCCTCATTTCGCCCTTGCCTCATTTCGCCCTTGCTGTCAGAACATTATAGCTTACATATTTGTGTAGGCTATAGTGGGGTATCCCATAGGGGGTACAACCCAATTAGGGTTTCCTATTTGTACTCACTTCGTTCATAGTCATTTCCATTCTCGTTCATTTCTTCTCATGGAATCAGAGCAGGTCCCCTCCTAGGGACTGTTCCTAGGGCCCACCGAAGCGCGCCCCGAGGCGCGCGTTTTTTAGCGACCCTGCGTGTCGCCCTTACCGTCGTGATCCCGCCGCCCTTTCCTCGTCGGCCCCGCTTAGGCCCCTCTACGGCCCCGCGTCGGCCCCGCTTAGGCCCCGTCGGCCCCACTTAGGCCCCGCTACGGCCCCTCGTCGGCCCCGCTTAGGCCCCGTCGGCCCGCTTAGGCCCCGCTACGGCCCCTCGTCGGCCCCGCCTAGGCCCCATCGGCCCGCTTAGGCCCCGCTACGGCCCCGCGTCGGCCCCACTTAGGCCCCGTCGGCCCCGCTTAGGCCCCACTATGGCCCCACTACGGCCCCGCTACGGCCCCGTCGGCTCCGTCGGCCCCGTCTAGGCCCCGCCGACCCTGCTACGGCCCCGCTACAGCCCGCCGTCGGCCCCGCTACAGCCCGACGTCGGCCCCGCTACAGCCCCGCTACAGCCCCGCTACAGCCCGCCGTCGGCCCCGCTACAGCCCGCCGTCGGCCCCGCTACAGCCCCGCTACAGCCCCACTACGGCCCGCCGTCGGCCCCTCCGCCCGTGCTGCAGCCCGCCGCGCCACCTGTGCAGCCGCCCGTGCGCCGCCCGTGCACCCGCCCGTGCAATCGCCCGTGCAGCCGCCCGTGCAGCCGCCCACCGTGCCGCCCGTGAGCCGCCCCAGCCGCCCGTGAGCCGCCCGTGCAGCCGCCCGCGCCGCCCGTGAGCCCCTGCGTCACCCGAGCCGCGCGAGCCGCCCGAGCCGCCCGAGCCGCCCGACCCGCCCGAGCTGCCCGAGCCGCTCGAGCCGCCCGAGCCGCCCGAGCCGCCAGAGGAGCCGCACTCCTGCTCCTGTGGGGCTACTGCTGCTCCTGGGCTGTGTTACTATGCCGCTGACCTACCCGACTTTTCCTGCCCGGTGAGACTGTCAGCTGCTGTCATGGCCACCCCCACTGTCCTAGCTTTTGACGCTGAGGGTAGAGCCATTGACTTTGCAGTCTGGATTGAAGACCTGCAGCTGTACTTACTGTGTGATGCGATAGATGAGGTCTCTCTCTTTGACTTTGTCTCTGGCGCTGTCCCTGCCCCTCCTGCTGATGCTGACTCCGCCGTTCGCTCCAAGTGGGCGACCCGCGACGCTGCTGCACGTCTTGCTGTGCGTCGCCACCTCCCTTCCTCCGAGCGTGCCCACTTTAGTCAGTGCAAGACCGCTCAGGCCTTGTACGACGCTGTAGTTGCACGCTACTCCTCCCCTTCCTCCGCTAC